CATCCTGTTACAATTTCAATTTTTATTTACCAAGTTACAGCTATGCATGGGGCCTATCTTGTTTAAAACATGTACTACTCTATTTTTTGTTCTTTCTGACCGTGTGTAAGTAATGGTTATATACCTTTTTATAGTCTCTCTTTCATGATATATAACTGTTTTCAACGTAATTGCCATAATCGAAAAATGGGTTAAATCGTCATTTAAGGTCGATGACTTTTTTGTATGTGTTATTTTTGTCTTGCTGATCCGGTTTTTTTTAAACTTACAAAGATACCAGGCTTATAATTTAATTTGTACGCCACACGTGTGTTTCGTAGATATAAACGGTTGTCCTCATCTATATTCACAGAGAGAAAAAAAAAACACCAAAAGAAAATGCTCATGTTCTTTACTGCCTAGGCCAATAAATGCAACAAAAAGAAAAATACAATTTATGCTATCGTATTTGTATATTATATCTTGCGATATAAAGAGTAACCCCAACTCAATTGATCTCATCAAGTCACACATAACCATGAATTTTCACTTCCTCTTTCGTAAAAATGCGATTTTCTAACTTCGACTTTTGGGAAAAAGACACGCGAAGAAACTTCTCATGTTTCACGTTGACTTGAACAGTATGCACTCGTTAGTTTTTTTAGAATATGAAGAATAGCTGAAGTGATAATTTTTTATATATAGACAATTGATTTGCATGATATAATTTCTAATGCAGCTTAAATGTTAGTGTAATCTGTAACCATGATTGTACAATAAAACACATACAAATGAACCTGCATCTTAATCTTCTTTAAATGCATTTTTCTACAGGTGCTCACTTCGTAATTGACAATGCCTATTTCGGAATGACGGCTGGGGTGTAAAATAACAGGATTTACGTCACATGTGAAATTATCGGTTTTTATTTAACTGGGAAATCATGATATTTCATTGCAACCAATGTAATTTAAAGGTGAAAGTCTGCTAATCAACTTTCGGGTTTTGGTGTCGAAATTTGCCAAGCATGACCAATGTATGCAAAGTGCGAATCCTGAAAAACGCTTTTTACTGTATCTGTCGTATATTTCTGATCTAGAATACGAAATATTTACGATTTTGGATAAAATAAGGAATAAAATATCAAATGTATTGTTTTTATAAATTGATGATACCTGTACACGGGCTGGTATTTATTGCAACTACGGTCATACAGGTGTGAAATTAATACACAAATAGGTTAATATCTAGAATGTCACGAACAGATCGTGCATGAGATTTGATAAACGTCTCCTCGAAGACGTTATTAAGAATTGAACGATGGACAGTCTGCGGGCTGAATGCTTCTTACTACCTGATTGGAAGATATTACTGAGAAGTTAATATTATAGTTCGTTGATTGGTTGGGACAATCCAAACCTAGTACATGTCTTTCAATCCCGTAGAGTGTCGGACTTGAACTCTCTATTTTAGCAATTAGATTTTGCCAGGTTACCAATCATGCATATCGGTACACAGTACACAGGTAACACTTATCTATAAATAGCCGAAACTCATGAAATCTTGTAAACGCACATGTGATTATTTAACATTCTGTCCAGTCGCTTACACAGGGACTCGGTTAGCAGAATAAAATGTTGTTTATCAATGTTTTTCTAATCTTTTTTCGTATTTCCTGTCTATTTGTATTATATTATTATCGTTTTTAACGTTGGCATAAATATTTCTTTGTTTTTTTCTAGCAATGTACGTGCAGTTTACTATGATCTACTATCCATATCCGTATACTGAAAAATCCTATACAAATACACAGGAAATACGAAAAAAGATTTAAAAAAACATTGATAAACAAAATTTTAATCTGCTAACGGATAAACCGAGACCCTGTGGTTGCTCACTTTTACGTACATCTTATATATGAAAGCATACTTAGGAAAACATCGAGCTTTTTTCTTAGGTTATACTTCGGAAGATAATCCAAAGACAACAAAAAATGAAAAAAGGGATATATCCAATCAGTTATTTTTGATTAAATATTAATTTAAACTGGGATCTTTATCTCGAAAAAGGGGGGAGTGCGACCTTCTCATGGTAAAAGCCGAGACCCAAGGGAAAGACATATAATTATATGGATCTGGTAAAAGAACATAGTACCCTAGAGATCAAATACTTTTTTACAATAAGTATGCCTACACATAGATATCATGGTTATGATATTTCATGATGGGGGGATAAATTGTTTGACAACTGATATGTAAAGCATTTACAACCATGATTTTAATTGCATCTGTAAAAAAATATCAACATCTGATCAGTTTCAGATTCAATCTTCAACCTAGTCTTATATCACCTAAATTTCTCGACTTCATCAAACATCATGAAGCTTAAATAAAGACCTATTCTACCTCTCAATACAAATGATAAGTATGATAAATGCACTCCCCGATCTTTAGGACAGGGTTTGGGCTGGGTTGAACGTTGTCTAGCTCTCCCTAGCTCTTCCTATAAAAATAGCAGACTACGAAGAACAGAAAACCCAAAAAAATCCAAAGTGGAATACGAGAAGAATAAAAAAAAACTACTCTCAGACGATGAAAGCAATTATACATGTATACTATCATATTTCAGCAGTGCTTAATTTCTATGAATGATTCTAAATTTTAAAGGAGATATGAAGTAAACGAAATTAATTTAGACAGCAACCCAATTAAACAACAAACAAAACAATTTACTTCTAAAATTCAACCTACGGTCTACTACAATGAACATGAATGTCATTACAATATTTTAAGTTTTTAATCCTACCTAGTCTAGCTATGATATATAGAATAGTTGTGAATACATGTAAAACATAATATCTTAATATCAAAAAATGAATATAATTTAAAACAATGAGCAGTGTCAAGAACAAACTTCTAGTAGTTGTTTTGAGATTTATTGACCATTTATACTACATATATATGCTATATAAGAGAAAGAGAAATAAAAGAAAATTATAAATTTCAAATACGAAAATACTGTTGGCATTTTAAAAGAATGGTCTCTCACAAAAGATTATGTCAATCCAGTATGTTAAGCTTTGAAGTATTCGTACGATAAGGACCTTATTTGACACCCAACATTAAATAGTATGCTGCTTAATAACGTGTTTGGTAAAATTTGTTGATTTATATGCAAGGATATTCTGAATGAATTAATCTACAAAGCGATAACACTTTCCACTTTCATCAGCTAAGAGACGGCTAGCTTTTTTTTAGAAAAGCTATTACTTGTAACAACTGTAAAGTCAATTTATTTAAAAAAAATATACCCGTTAACGTAATCATTAATGTGGTCTTACTTAAAACTTTGTCAATCAGTTTATTGATATTGAATTAAATTCAACTATGCTGCATCATTTTGTTATGCAATTCATGTAGACTATTAAATAATGATAAAATACTTTCTATTTCACTGTAGGGACGAATCATTTATATTGTATAAGCGGTGCCTTTTCACAGTATAAATGTTATTCACTTTCATCAAATAATGTCTTTATGACAGTGAAAATGTACTATCTGGATCCCGCACTTTGTATACACTGGTGACCGCGACAGACAATCAACACAGAATCATGCAGCACTTTTATAATAAGTGAGATGACAGAGCTATGTTTATGTTTATGTGTTTGTTTTTATTTGTATATTTTCCGTGCGTTCCCACCCAAACTTTGTAAAATTAAGAAGAAGAAGATGTTAAACGAAGAATTATATATTTTAATTCCCTTTTCAAAAATGAAAACAAAGGTATGTATGTGCCGCATTGAAGTATAATGATAACTACGGGATAACCGAATCGTCCAATTGTGTTACTTAAGGGTTAGAAATAGATCTTATTACCTAGTGCGTAAAAAAGTATTGCCGTAGGGAATTTTCGACAGATTTTGAAAGATGAGGGGTAGGCATTTCAGATTCTTTTTTATTAAACCTAACTTTGGACCTATGGTGAAGACAAACCATGAGTTTTCCCACCTGGGCCTTTTGGCCCAATTGACCAAAGACCTTCAACTATCATTTGCATCTAGTGTGTAAAAAGGTATTGCCGTAGGAAATTTTTGACAGACTTTGAAAAATAGGGGGTTAGGCATCTAAGACTCTTTAGACCTAAGTTTGGACCTATGGTGAAGACAACCATGAGTTGTCCCACCTGGGCCTTTTGGCCCATTGGACCTTAGACCTTTACCTATCATTTGAACCTAGTGCGTAAAAATGAATTGCCGTAGGAAACTCATGGTTTGTCTTCACCATAGGTCCAAACTTAGGTAAGTAGAGTCTGTTGAGTTTGGATCTTATGTATCTTTTGGGTTTTTAAATTTATCTTAAAAGTGGCTGCTAGCGTAGTGGCTGCTAGCGTAGTGGCTGCTAGCTGCAGCCTGGTTACATAATCCCTGAAAATTTTAGGGATTATACATAATCCCTAATTCTACAAATTCACTGTAACATATAAAGGTGTTTTACAGTAAATTATATATAAAACATATTCATCTGTCTTGTTGAATTTAAAGGATCAAATGACTTTTAACATTTAAAATAACGGGAATTCCCGAATTCCTTGATGTGAATTTAGTAGATGAGAAAACTACGGGATATTATAATTTTAAAGTGTAGCTCCTGGTGGGATATTTGTTTAACCAAGATTGGTATATATATATATGTGCATTTTACGTCAAAAAAGGACATTCAATCTGTCGATACAATTTGTAAGCCCGTATACATATTTTTATAGAGAACTGAAATTTGGCTTAAAAAATGAAAACAACAATTTATGATTTTCATGCGTCCGAAGCGCTTTTCTGGATCTACCTTCATCAGGATCACTCATAGCTTAATATGGTTAATTTTTTTTTTTAATTCCTATTCAAGACAGTATGTGGAAAGTTGTATTGATTGGATATGTATTGACGTGGAAATAACATTTAATTTAGGTGCAATGAACGGGTCATTGCGGGTATTCATACACATATCTCAGGTAAATATGTTCAAACAGACTGTCTTATATTAACATGTGTGTGTTATAGAAACAGGGTCAATATTGTGTTTTATAATATTCTATCTAAAAAATAAGGTTGGAGTACTTATCCTTAAGGATAAAGATTAACGAGAAACCAATTCAAGAAATATCTCAAACTATTTATTCAATTTGAAATAATTTACAACATTGAATTCATATTTTTGAACGGAAAAAGCAAAGGATTACCAACTATAATATAATGTCGCATTCGACCGACAGTAATTCTGAAAACATATCTACTCTCAGTGTAATTTTACCCGACGAAAGTTCGTGTTTATTAACCGACATTTGCATAGAACGCGAATATTTCATTGTTGTCGATAATGTAAACAGACGGGTTAAACGTTATAGAAAAGGTGATAATTGCTTGCAGGATTACATCTTTTTAGAAGATCCATGTGGGATTTGCAAATTATTTTTATCTTCTCATATTGTAGTTACAGAACCGTGCAATAAACAATTGACGTATGTCAGCGTAGAGGGTAATATGATCCTCAGTTCTCGAAGGAAGACTAACAAAAAGTATAGTGCAATCCGCTGCTTGGACGAAACAAGGCTTGTGGTTGGTTGTTGTGAACTGGCCAATGCTTCAGTTGACATACTAGATTATACTGGGAAAGTCCAACGGACTATAAATAGCAACGAGAAAGAATATCCCCTCTTTGTAACACCTGCTTGCTTGGCTTGTTTCAACGAGGAATATATAGTTATTTCTGATTCGGGAACAAGGAATGTGACGTGTATAAACAAAAATGATAAAGTTGAATGGATTATTGAACTCAAATGTTCCCCAAGTGGTGTTTGTGTGTCCAAATCAGGAACTGTGTACATTTGTTTGTACAATGAGAATAAAATTGTGACGGTTGATAATATACATAATGGCGATGTTGCAGGAAGTATAGACGATATTCAATTGAAAAATCCACTCTCAATCAGTAATTCAACTGGATGTTTGTACGTTACAGAGGAAATGCCGAGTGATAGAATAGTTCAAATTCAGGTAAATGAATATATCCGAATTCTAAATTTCAAATTGAAGTTTTACCTAATTTGAATTCCTCAAAGCTATTTTTAAACATTCAGTTGAACAAATGGTTTTACAATTAAAAAAATAATAAACCTTTTCTATTTGAATACTTTATGAGGTCAGTGAGCCACATTTAACCCATTTCTCTGACGTCAGTCTATTGTTCTTACAGTAGATTATTATTCAAGAATCCACTGACCTCTTCGTTTACTTAAGATAACTTATTTTCTAACTTTAAACTTTTAACTTAAGATTTTTTATCCTTTCAAAAACGAGAGGCAAATGAAGGGTTCGAACTCGCGCGTATTTTCTTCTTAATCAGTAGAGTCTTCAGTCTGTGCATTTTTTTTTTATCTTTAAAACTTCAGTCTGTGCATGATACCACTATACCACGAGTGCTCACATAAATCAATATTCAAATAACACTCTTAAAGCGCACAACTGTCAATACATGTCAATAAACTGTATTTCTATCTCAGAGATAATTCGCTTTTGTTATCTAATAAAATATTTATACTATGTCTGGATTTGTTCATGTTCTTTTCAAATTTATGTAAATTGTTTTATGCGTTATTTTTTAAGGAAGATTATGTTCTACATTTGAACGTTCTTGAGTATAGTTATATAGCTGTATGGAAATATCTTAAAAAAGAGTTTATTCACGATGTCAGGTTTGAACATTGGTCGATTTTCAACATCGTTATAATGAACCGATGGGTCTTTATACGATTGTGGCTATTACACACTAGTTCTCAACACTAGAGAATCGAGGAATTGTATATATTAGTACAGTTCCTTGATAAAATAAACAACCATATGCCCATTACACATGTCACTTTTAACGTACAAGGACTTTTCCTCAGTTTCATCATAGCAAATGCTTACTTAAGGTTTTAGTCTTATAATGATATCGAACTATCAATATTTTCTTCTTTGTTTGATTATAAATGGTCCAAATATACATCACGTCAACATTGAACGTACTCTAATTTGAATAAAGTGTGATATATAAGCTACGACCGTAAAACTACTTCCTTGACTGTAAAACCAGAAACAAAATCATCGCCTTAAAATGAATATGAAGTATATAATACCTCTAAGATTAAAACAATATTTTTGTCGAGAGAAAAATTGCAATGGAAAATTTCAATTCGGGTACAAGGTTTGAACTTGGCACTGCTAATATCACAGTTGTGTCTTTTGATACCAACGACTAGACGATCACGGCTATGAACAGCTTGAATGTAGTAGTAAAAAATTGACATAATTATACATTGTACATCTGTAGCACGAGCAATTCTGCTGGAGATTTAGAATGCGTACCACAGAAAATACTAGTTTATTGACTGGTTTACGATGGATGCCAAATGTAATAACGTTAAAATAATCTAAACTTAATGAAAGGGAAACAGTTTAAACAAAATACATGTATAATTTTCAAAAAAGACCTTCAGCAATTATTTTATTTATTTCGGAAAGCATCATTTACTGGAGTATCATAAAATTGTAGTATTATGGCAACTATGCTAAATACATGTATTTGACTTAATACGGTCAAATTGCTTTTTTTTTTTTTTTTTTTTTTTTTTTAAAGGTAATTTGTGGGTGGGGCTTATCTCGCCCTTTATTTTATAACACCAAGTTGTATTTCTGGCATAGTTCTTGCATGTCATCTTTTCTACTTTCGCTAAAGAGAAAGTTCTTTTTGTCTCTAATGTCTGGCCAGGTATTGAAGCTTTTACTGATTTCGGCGTAAAATTCAGGATTTTTTTTCTTTTTGACGTCTTTGTATGCCTGTAATGTGTCTGAAAACACCAGGACATACATGTCTTTTCTCTTCAACTTCAGTATGTAAGTTCTCTGTGGATGGTCGAAAACTATCTTTTCTACCTCATGGCTTTCTTGCTGTACCCTTTCCTTTCCTGTCGTGCTGGGTGGTGGTCAACCCTCGGCACCTTTAGTGCAGGCGGGATCTTCTTGTAAATCTTGTACAGCTTCAACTGATGGAGGTAGATCTCTGCATTCGGTTGATGTGGTTTCCGGTAATTCCTGTACTTCCACGTCTCCCATGTTGGTTGGAGCGGGTGTGCCTATCTCCTCTGGGTTTGATGAAGTTTCATCCGCATCGGACTTCTTCTACTGGATGAAAGCTTTGAGGCGGCGAGTATTTCTCTCTGTCCGTGCTTTCGATGATTTCTTTTTCTTTGTCGTCTCTCTTTGAGTGGTAACCTTTCCTAATGGCGGCCATCTAACTGTTAGAGTGTACTGTCCATTCCTTCTGGTTAAAGTCCAGTCGGCGGTTGTACTTCCCACCACAGCTAGTACCGATGTAACATCATCGGGTAGAGATAGAGTATGTTCTTGGCATGATTCACGTGAAGTCATTTCACCATATTACAAGACATCATAAACACGTCCGTCCAGGTGAAAATCTACTCACGACATTTAATACGGTCAAATTGCAGGCAATCCTTAATCATCTGTAAAGAATCATAGATTGCTAAATACTATATATGTAAATTTGAAAGGTTTCTAAATTTTGGTAATTAGATTTTTTTAACTATTCAAAAAAAGATTAAAAAATTCTGTATATTTACATATGTCTTTTTGAATAAATCATAAATACCAAAATCTATATAATTTTAATACTTTGTAATGATAAAACATTAAATGAAATATAAATATTCAAGTATTAAATCTGGTAATAAAAAGGGGAGCTAACAACCCATTTAAGTTATATCAAACTTATGTTAACTTAAATATAGACGTGAACCGTGTGGATATAATCATTTCCAGCTATTATAGAATAAAAAAGACAAAATACGAAATCATTTTTATGAAATTCCGTTGATTCATTGTCAAAACATAAAACAGACAGTCTTTTTAATAGAAATGGGTTAAGCTAGAGAATTGATAAGAAGTAGTGGATTCGTAAACGATAATCAACTTGCGACTAAAGTCGCTCGTCGATTATCGTTTACGAATCCACTACTTCTTATCAATTCTCTACTACATATCCTATTGTAAACTATAGTAATTACATGTATAACCTGTCTTAATCAACAGTATTACATGTATGATGAGGCTGACTGAAATATACATTGAGTAATCAAAAAGGGTAATTGTGAATATGAGAAGAACATCAAACATGAAAAGAAATCATCCTTACTAAAAGAAACATTTATTATATACTTCATTTACACGACGGGTACCACATGTAAAGCAGGATCTACTAAATCTTCCGGAGCACCTGAGATCACCCCAGTTTTTTGTGGGGTTCACGTATTCAATTTTGTGTTTTGTAGACCGTTGTTTGTTCTCGACATGAGTTTGAATATCCTTTGGTATCTTCAGTCTTTCTCTTATTGCTACTAGTCAAACAAGCTTGGAAAAGTATTATATGGTTGTGCACATCAATTATTTATAACCAATAGTTATGAAAGTATTACAATGAGACAGCATCCTTTGACTCTAACTAACAAAAGACAACTATAGGTGAAATACTGTCTTCAGCAGTAGACGGTTGTCTTATAATATGCTGACAACAGGTACAAAGAAACTGCATTTGAAGTGTCCTACTTCATCTTTGCAGTTGCTGGAATGGAGACGTTGAGTTCACAATCACGAATTTATACCTGAAAGCTAGATTCAACTGCTTAAGTTGTGTAAAATTTGGTCATCTCATGTACTTAGTTTTGTGTATAGTAAGTCTTTTAAGTAGAATTATCTAGTACATCTTTAGTTGTAGTTCTTCATTAACTAAAGTCAAGATTTGGAAAACAAACATCGATATGAGATTGAAAAGGAAGCAAACAGAACGATTAAAAATTAGTTATTTATAGGGACAACAAGTACTGCAACATTTCAAGTCACAAAAAATACAAAATTTGTCCTAAAACTTCAATGGAAAATAAATATGATCAGATGATACAGTTACTGTCTTGAAAGTCATTATACTATCTCTCTGATGGCTTGATATATGGATTTCAAATGAAAATTTTACGATATTATTCCATTTCAGATTGATGACCCTTCTGACAAAGGAAGAGTGGTAGACCTTTCTAATATTCATCTTATTACAAAGAAAGAATCAGACAATCAACAAATATCTTCATTATCATCCGAAGAAGACGAACCTCAATGATATTGTATTGACTCTTGATAAAAGATTATTTTAATAAAGTACATTGACACCAAACCTCCTTTGTGACAGAAGTAAATAAAATAATAAACATTCATAGTTTAAACGCAAAGCAACTTCTTTGAAGGCTTGTAAAAAAGTTGTAAATGGCTCGGCGATACAATGGGATAACCAATGACAGAGTGAGAACAGTAGAAAAGTAACTTTTCAAGCGACAACCTTCATGGCCAAAATATAGTATTCGTCAAGTGTGGTTTTAACTAAATGATACGCGGATGCTACAAAAATTATTGCGCCAGAAAGTAGTTTTTTATGCCACCTTATCTGAAAGTTACCGCATCTGAAAGTTGGGGGGCATATTGTTTTACTCCTTTCCGTCCGTCCGTCTGTTCGTTCTTCCGTCCCTCCGTCCCATTATGGGTATATAGTTATTCCAGATAACTTCTTCTACAGTTTGAATGCTAGGAAGTTTTGACTTTGCTGGCTGTTTGTACATATATTGAAGGTGTGCATGTGGTCAGGGTTTTGATTTTTATTGATATTTGCTCTTTTGGGAGATAGTTGAACTTTGTCATTTTTGGAGTATATACTTGCATAAGAGGTGCATAGCGTTTTCGGATAACTCCTCCTACAGTTTGAATGCTAGGAAGTTTTCACTTTGCTGTCTGTTTGTACATATATTGAAGGTGTGCATGTGGTCAGGGTTTTGAATTTTATTAATATTTGCTCTTTTGGGAGATAGTTGAACTTTGTCATTTTTGGAGTATATACTTGCATAAGAGGTGCATAGCGTTTCCGGATAACTACTCCTACAGTGAACCATAGACCTATGTGCTCCTATGCTCAACTTTGTGTATTTTAAAATAACACTTTGCATCTGCGGGGGGACCGTTTGTGTCTCCCAGACACAATAATATCTCAAAGAAAGTCCTACATTGACTATGTTATAATACAGTTACTTCAGAGTGGAGTGCGGGGGCATCACTTTGTCTGGTTTAAAGATTACAATGGCGAATACAACTTTAACAAGACTTATCGTACGGGTCGAACACAAATCAATTCGTTTCATGTTCTACGAATCTTTGGGTCAACAGATGGACAAGACACAATTCATTTGGTCTATATACTAATTAATTTCATGTTTTATAGATATTCAGGTCAATAGGTCGATTAGGTAGCACGTCGACAAATCAATTAAGGCTGCATATTATTCGTTTTATGTTCTACATTTATTAATTTCAAAAGGTCAATGGATCAGTAAGTCGACAGGTCGATAAGACAGCAGATCAACAGATACTGATATTGGAATCTTTAACAGGACACGATTTTCATGAAATCATACTTCTATATATATTTGACAAACCACCTATTTTGGCATTCAGACATGATAAAAACCTAAAAGACATTTTAGCTCATGAAAGCATAATGCTATGTATTTTGAGTAACCTTATAAATGTGAACCATTTGGACGGACCTGTTGAGATTTGCCCGTTTGTGCGTAATTTTAACTGTTTAATTAATTTCGAAGGAAAAACTTTTAACGTAAAAGGTTACATTAATTGTACGACAGCTAATCTTGTGTACGCATTATTTTACAGATGCTGTGACAAATTAATATAAGTAGGGGATCGAGAACAGGGATGCATATGAAAGCTTATTCGGGTAATTTTATGCTCAAGAAAAACTAAATTTCGAATTAATCTATCACGCCTTTTCATTTCGATCCCAGCTTTCTCCTCGACAGGTTGGATGCTTAATAAACAACTCGTGACTGGTCATCACTTAATACTGATGGCCACGACTTTTTAACTCGTGGACACGACATGAGTAACTCGTGGCCGTGACATGAGTAACTCGTGGCCACGACATAAGTAACTTGTGGCAACGACTTTTTTCTTGAGTATAAAATGACCCGAATAAGCTTTCATAGATACATTATATCTAAGATATCTGCCAAATTTATTGCTTATTCATAGTCAGAAACCATACCCTGTTGCGCTACATTTTAATTCAACGAATATTTGCACTTAAGAAAATTTGCAGAGACAATACGTACCGTGAAAAAAAATACTGTTTTCCGATGATTTTGTCGTGTATAGAAAACATAAAACAGATAATTTTTCCCCAAACTGCTAGCTTTGTATTACTTCTTCTAGTTGCTTTTACTTGGCCGAGTACCAGAATGTCCTACCAAAGAGTAGGCAACCTGTCGAAAAATATTATCCGGAGTAGAAAGTCGCTAATATGAAAATAGTCTATTGAGAAAATTTGGATAAAAACATTATTGCATACAAGCAGCACGGGATTAATACAAAAAATAACGTTCTCGCTCCCAAATTGTAATTGTTAACTACGACGTTGTGATGATATGATTTGTTACTATACCAATAATAAAGTTCCGCTGAAGATGACCGGCATTATTTTAAAGAGTTTTTGTCTCACCTGCAAGACATAGGGATTGCAATCCGGCGGTGGCGTAAACTATTTGTATAAAGCTTTATATTTCAGACGAAAGAAAACCTGGATGCTTCATACCTTCTATGCAGATACCTTATGCTACGAAGTTTCCGTCTGTCAAATGTCCATTGTCCTTGACCTCATTTTCATAGTTCAGCGACTTCTTGAAAAAAATATAGTTTTTTGTCCTGTGAACTTCTCACTTATTATGAGCAATACGATAACATTATATTTAGTATATGGATTCCATGGAAGGTCTACATGTCCGTCAGACAGGTTCCTACTTAACACGACTTCGTTTCATGGATCAGTGAGCAAGGTTAATTTACGTGATTAGGTCAGTTTCTCAGATATTATAAGCAGTAGGTCAACTATATGTGGTGTATGGAATGATTGTAAGGAGTCAGTCTGGCAGGTTTCATCTGACCTTGACCTCATTTTCATGGTCCTTTAATCGATGTTAAGTTTTTGTGTTTTCGTCTATTTTTTGAATACTATATGCAATAAGTCAATTGTAATTGATGTATTGAATGCTTGAAATGTGTACATGTCAGTCTGACCTTGACCTCATTTTCATTGTTCATTGGTCAATGTTAAGTTTTTGTGTTTTCATCTGTTTTTTTTTAATACTATAAGCAATAATTCAATTATATTTGGAGTATGGAATGATTGTAAGGTGTTCATGTCTGTCTGGCAGGGTTCATCTGACCTTGACCTCATTTTCATGGTTCATTGGTTCATTTTAAGTTTCAGTAGTTAGATCCTCTTCTAAGATACTATAAGTAATAGGTCAACTATTCGGTGTATGGAATGATTGTAGAGATTTAAACGACACAAAGTATCTATCTTTTTTATAAATTAACTGTACAAGACTTTGAATGTTTCGAAATACTAATGATTTTATACCCCAGGAATACATTACCTTAGCTGTATTTGGCAAACCTTTTTATGAATTTGGGTCCTCATCGCTCTTCAACTTCGTACTTTATTTGGCCTTTTTAACTTTTTTGATTCGAGCGTCACTGATGAGTCTTTTTTAGACGAAACGCGCGTCTGGCGTTCAAATTTTCATTCCTGGTATCTATGATGAGTTCATCTAAGAGTAATCGCAGTAACTGAAAGCTTGTTCAAACTCAAGTACAACTAATTAATAAATCTTGTTCTCCCAGACTGTATAAATCAGTACACATCCAACGGATTTAGTATAAAGACGTCATAAACAGTCTTAGAAAAGCCACGTGATTAATTGTGCAATGCTAAATCATAAGTACATAGTATCGACATAATGTAGTACCATAAGTTTTAACTACAGTATAGCAATATATTTAAAGTAATATGAAACGAATTTCTTGTAATTATAATATAATGGCAATTATTGAACCAATGCATGCATTTATACTAAACTAAGTCCTCTGAGGACATTTTTTTACATTTATTACGAACCTTTAATGTATAATCGAAAAAAAAATCATTTAGTGAGTCTTGATCCCAAACTATAGCTTCTAGTTAATCCTCGGGTTTTATTGCCGAAGTTTACCGGATCGTGACATTGATAAACAATCAACACATAATCATGGAGCACGTGAAAAGTAAGTGCGTTGATAGAACGATGTTAATTTTTGTTTTATATTTTCCATGCGTTTCCATTTGTTAATTTAACTTTACCAAAACAGTTGTTTAACAATTTAGTGTATTATTAGATTGTTCTTTCAGACTCAAATAACAATATTTACCTTCTAGTGCACGTTTGCTTTCATTCTTTTAAACACGGGTTTTCCATCGCACTTGCGTTGTGTGGTTGGCGAAGTTCTAAAGAGAGGCCTCATGGTTAATGTCATTCCATACGGAAAAGGTATCGGCGAATTAGAGTACGGGAAGACAATAAGTCAATAGCAATACATTTCAGATAAAGGATGTATTTTTACCAAAAAGTCCATGTACACTTGTTTTATAGTAAAACATTCAAGTATATAAAACATATTTAACTTTTTTTTAAATTTGGAGTTTTATAAGGCTTTAATTGTATTTTGATTTATCAAAAACAAAATCAATGTTAGTACCGATAAAACCTTATTCAAAGATCTTACTACGGTGTTAAATGAAAACATTCAAGTTTAGTCAAAGGAGCAACGAGTTAACATAGATCATATCTAAGTTACGAACTCTATACACATGTTTACCGTAAATATGAGGATGTGATGTCCTGTTTGTAATTATAATTCTAGAAGTACAGCCAATGGTAACTTACTTAATAATTTAACAGTTATTTATATATAAACTACGTTCATTGAAATCTAACCTCCACTTCAAACACAGGCATGACGAACCAGTTGGGAAAACAAACCGTAATAAGGGACCAAAGGAACATACCGTATAAAAAAAGAGAATTGCGAACAAAAATCGTTTCTTTTGTCATAGTTTTTTGTATAGAATTTTGCTTGTGAAATCTGCGACACATTACAATTCGAAAACATAGACATTTTGACTGGGAAGCTGGTATTAGGTATAAATCTATGATATGTACTCATTTCTATATAAAATATACGGAAAAAGGTCGCCGAAAAGTAGTTTTTGAACATGTATTTGAAGTCTAAAAATCTGCGACACGGAAAACTGAGGAGGGATCTTTGAAAAAACAGAGCACTGGGA